CCCGTGTCCCCCCCCGACACCAGGCAGCGACCTCAGCATGGGAACTGCACCGAGCACGTTTCAGATGCACATGCACAAATTTCCATCAACAAAACAGTACCCAGGGAGGCAGCAGTGATGAGACAGAAAAAGAATCCGCCCCATGCCAGCCTGCAAACCCCACGTCAAGGTCACATTCTCTTTGTAGCAAGCTACCAACACCAGGGTAGGGGAAAGGGGTTAGTTTGCCAACACTGTTGTTGTTACCTACATCTGAGAAGAGACTCCCTGGAGGGGTTAGGGATGGACAGATGATAACCTTTCATCATTAGCCCTGTGTTAAACTCTGATTAGTCTATTTAAATCCATCCCCCTTTGGATAAAGAAAACAATCTGCCCAGCTAGTTTGGCATCAGACAATGGATCACTTGACAGGGGAATTTTAAACACCAGATGAGACTGCAGTTTGCAGGACTCTCACCCCAATCGTGCTGCGAGCCCACAAGCAGCGCGCAGGGTTGGTTTATGGGGGCAGAGACACCCTTTCTTTCCACCCTTCAGAGAAGGAAAAGGAGCTCTAGGTACCCTGGAAAACTCTGCTGTAGCTCTGGGAATGAACCAGGACAGTGAGGAAAGAGGCAGGGCAGGGCCCACTTTGCTTTGTGCACCTCCATGCTGCCTGAAGCAAGAGGTGTGACTTGCAGACCCCTTTGGCAAAGCCACAGTGGAGAGACATAAGGCAGAGAGACGTCCCCAATTCACAACCCAGCACCAAAAGGTCCCTGTCCTGGGGAAGGGGGGCCACAAACGGCTTTGGAGGTGGAAGGACCAGTCTGTGCCTGCTCCCAGGTGGGCCAAAGCTGGCCAGAAAGACCAGAGCCCAGCTTGACTTGGTCTCCCTGGGATGCTCAAAGGCACCTCGCTGCTGGGCAAGTGCAGAAGCTGCAGCCGCGGGGCCCCTCCGGCACCGCCGCCCTGCCAGCGTGCCTCCGCTGCTCGCCACGCCGGAAAAAAAAATCCCCAACCCCTCCAAAGGGTGACCCCGCCGCCCCTGCCCGCCTGCCGGCTAGAGGGAGGAGGGCTGGGCTCTCTCCTGTCAAACAAGAAGGCAATTAAACGTCTAATTAAATAAGAGGGGATTTTACATTTAGCTGAACTGGAATAGATTCCTAATTCAATCAGGTAATTGTAACGCTTGTTAATTTTTCATGTCGCAAGGAGGTTTCAAAAGCCTCGTTTGTCCTCCCGTTTTTGCTAAGCCATCCGTGCTTTCTGCCGGCAGCGCTGCCCGGCAGGTGGGGCGGGGGGGGACGACACTTGCATTGTTTTTCTCGAACTTCCAGTTCTCCTCCTGGGCGAGGATTTGGTCCACAACCTCCATTGCATCTTTGCCTTGCCGGACGTACTCTTTCTCCTAGGAGAGAAGCGAGTATTTTGTTAGCTGGGTTTGCAGAAAGCCTGAAAAGCGTGTGCAAGGCTGGCTACCCCCCTCCCAGTGCTGCCAGAGGAAAATCGGATAGCTCCCATCACCACGCCGCAGAAATCTCTTAATTTGGGTCACAGAGGCCTCATTTTGGAGCTGAAAGTCACACTCCCTGCCCTGGCTTGTATCCACACACCAGCTGCGCCTACCAGCGCGTCTCCCGCCTTAACGTAAGGGTTTCCAGCAGGCAAAGGGCTCCGAGATGCGCAGAGCTTCCTTCTGCGGAGGTGCCAGAGCCGGGGCTGAACGGCAGCAGAAACAATCGGCCACTTGGAACAGAGCACAAAGCAGCCCGTGCCCAGCCAGGCTTCGGGGAGGTGAAGGACCACCCCGCGAGCCATGGATCAGCGGGGACGGCGGAGGCGATGCCCTTCTCGGGGTGTGACCACGGAACCAGGGACCGAGGAGGGACGGGGAGAGAGGGACAGGCAGGAGGCAGAGCCAGAACCACATCCCTGCGGGATGCCACAGGGGAGGGCACGCAGCCCTGGGGAAGTGGGTTAACGTCAGGTGTTACCCAGAGAACCCCCCTCCCGCAGCGGCCGCAATGCCACCGGTTCTGGGGCGCATGGGGAAGAGGCTGGTGCCAAGGGGCAAGCATTGCTCCTCAGCCAAACCTCCCTGGACCAGAAGGCTGTGGAATGAGGGACAGCAGCACCCAGTGCTCTGCAGACACAGCACCCTGATGGGGCTGCAGGGTCGTCAGAGACTCCCATAGCCCTGGGTCAGCCCCCGCGGGCAGGGACAGCCCACCTCGAGCCACGCTGCCCTTGTGTACCTGAGCTGTCAACGCCTTCCTCCCCACACCTTCCTCGTCCGACTCGTTGTCCGACCCTAGGAGAAGCACATAATTAACACACGGTTGATGAAGATCCCTCTTGGACAATCTCCCTCTGACCTTCTCGTGGGGACGGACAGCGTCCGATGCCCGTGCCCTGTCTGGTGGGAAGGGCTGTCAGTGGGGACGACCTTGGCACAGCCCAGGCTCTGCCTCCCCGAACGCCTCTGCTCTGCTCTCCGGAAGGCTGAGCACGACCCGGGTGTCAGCTACACCGAGACAACTGCTCCGGCTGACGTCTCCTCGCTCCTGAGCAGGGGAGGTCACCGGAGCTGGCACGAGGCAGTGCCGCTGCCAGCTCTCGTCCTCACCTGCTTGTGGCAACTCGCCCCCTGTGCCCTCCTCCCGAGGGCAGCGTTTTTCAAGTACTTTAGCGGCAGCTAAAGAGCATTTAATCCCAAGACCACAAAAAGCTCTGGTTTCCCACAAAGCCGAAGCCAGGCGCGTGGGGCTGAGCGCGACCGCTCCGCAGATGGCACGGAGAGAGCGTGGCCGTGCCTCCCCTGGCCGGGCACAGGCGCAGCGCGAGGAGAGGGGAGCCTGTTTTGCAGTGTCAGTTCTTGGAGGCCCTGCCACCCACCGCTGCCAAGGGCCGGGATAATGAGACAGAGCTGAGGGAGGAGGCAATTATAGAAGTGAGGAGACCCAGGAGGAAAGTCACGAGGGGAACAAGCTCGGGAAACGAGGCGGCCCGGCTGCCGGCGAGGTGACGGCAGAGGGGGAGGAGAGCACGTCTTACCTGCGAAGGACTCCGGTGGGGAGTAGAACTGCCCCTCGGAAAGGGCTCCGGAGTAGAGCAGGGGACCGCGAGAGGCTGCAGCCTGGGCGGGCAGGTACCCCGC